ATGATCCTTGCCTCGCTCTTTTTCCTTGCCTTGTTGCTGTCGCCAATTCATGCACCTTTTTGTGTTCGCTGTTTGTGCTACCTAAGAAATGTAGACTAGCTCACCGCATTAATTTATATTGTAAATTTTACAATGCATTTTCCGGGTTTACTGTGACCAGAAGACTGGAGGAGGAGGATGGACAGTCTTTCAGAGAAGAAAAGACGGTTCGGTGGACTTTTACCGAGGATGGGCCGACTATAAGAAAGGGTTCGGGGACCTCAAAGGCGAATTTTGGCTTGGTCTCGACAAGATCCATCGATTGACGCATCAAACACGAAACCGTCTTCGTGTTGAGATTGAAGACACTAAAGGAAATAGCGCATATGCCGAGTACGACTTCTTTAATGTGACCAATGAACAAAGCAAGTACAAGTTATGTCTTGGAACTTATTCAGGTAAGAAATATGTGCCACTAATACTCAATTTTCGAATTCAAAGCGAGAAACCGCTGCATGCTTTATTTGACAGTACCAAAGATCGTGACAATGACAAGGCCAACCACAACTGTGCAGTGAGACACAGTGGTGCCTGGTGGTATAACGTCTGCTATCATTACAACCTTAATGGTGCGTGCAAATACCGCGGTACCATTTCAGACCGTGGCGTGACCTGGTACCACTGGAAAAACAGCTATTATTCCCTTGCAAGAGCTGAGATGAAGATGAGACCGTAAAAGAAACGAGCCAATGACGTAATCACGTATGGTAAAAACCGCAAAGGACATAAATATAGATAGGTAAAACAGCATCAGTTCAATTTATTGACTGTAAGAATAAGCTTTAGACAATTTAAAACGATTGCATTCAGGCTGGATGTTCTTGACTTATTCGTTTTCTGCTCGTGATTCAAAGCATTTGTCGTGTTCTCCCAACCATCCCGTGTTTTTAAGTGAGAATGGGAAATCTCTTCTATAAATGCTTCACTTTTCAGTATCTCCTGCTAATTTTTCTCATTATTCAATGAAAAAATGATAATTTTAAATACCTTTTATATTTGTTCTCGATATTGGTTTAAAAAAGGTTTAGGTAAACACGAAATTAGAAGACAAATATTGAATTAACAAAGATGTCACAAGTGGTCCGAGTCCATTAAAGTTTTCCAAAAATATATTTTCGATATGAAATGAAACTTAGTACTCGAAAAAGGAGAGAAAAGGAAATCCGAAAAACAAACAATCCCCCAAAAAAAACGAAACTTTACGCAAAAATTGCTACAAGAGTCTACTGTTGGACCTTCAAGGCACCAAACTGAAATACCATACTCTCCTGTATTACGTTTATAGATAACCCCTTCGTGATTTTCATTTAAAAAAGATAAACACGTAATAATTACAAACACGCCCAATCACTTTTCAAGTAAATCTCAAAAGTCTTCCATGAACTATTCTTGAAGTGAGAGCGCATCACGTTCTTCTTGATAATATTATTGTTGTTGAATGATAAAAACAATAAAGCAGTGAATCTCGGCCATTATGCTGTTTTATTTTCTTCCCTGGTTCAATTTTTTTTACTCATTTCTCGACTATCCCTCAGAATTATTTTTGGCAAACTTACTGGAATATTTAGACCAATTCGGTGAGAGTTGCAACATGCTATATTGATATTTAAATGTTTTAAATTTCTTTATTTACCAAGTCAATTTCGAGGGTAAATACTTGTGTCAAGTTTAAATTTTTTAACAATAAAGAAAATCATTAAAAATTTGCAAATTGTTTGTCATTCACAATAATCAGTTAATTGCATTTATAAATATAGCTCTTACTAGTGAGTTCCGTTTGAAAACAGCTGGTATTTTGTACAATCCTTACAAATAAACACGCCCGACATTCCCTTTTTGACACTCACTCCGTTTAGACTTCTGATAGACAAAGTCACTTGAAAGAGCAAAGACACTTCAAACAACCTTGTGAAAGAACGAACAAGAATGTATTTCTTGCTTAGACTATCAGCCTTTGCCATGTTTCTTTTGAATGTCGCAGACTACAGTTCTTGCCATTCGGCTTACCCTCCAAACTACGACAGGGAAAAAGGTCTTCTTTTTGACTTTTATCCTGCTCAAAAGCTTACTCTTCCAAAGGGAGCAATGAAGAAAACCAAGTATGTCAAAAATAACATGGATTGCGTGTTCGAATGCATGGGTGTCCATTGGTGCCGTTCAACCAATTTTAAAATCGCTCCTCGATCTAACGGTCTCCACGCCTGTCAACTGATTTCATCTGAACAGTTCGCTGGGAATTAGTACATGGAACCAAGTAAAGCGTACAACCATTATAGCTTGAAGGTAAGGAAAAAACTAAACTACCACACTATAAGTAAACTATATCTTTTAATTAATCCAGTGCCTATGTGGAGTTTGTGGCGCGTTCTTGAAGGCCTATGTATCTCAGACCAATTGGCGTTACATTATTTAAACCATAAGAAAATATAGATTTCCCAAGAGATTTTCCATATTCTAACACTTTGCAGTCATTTTTTTGGAGATTATTTTAAAAAGTACTACCACTAAACTCATGCTTGTGAAGAAAACTTATACATTTCTAGTCAGTATTTGTCCAGTATATGAATAAGTATTTCGACTACTGCAGTGATCTATCTATGTTTCGACTCAAATTTAAGTCCCCAGCATTTGGCTATTTCATTCAATTTAAATTTTGATAAAACCTTACGTCTAGCTTTCTGCATTGTTTTAATTCTTGTACTAACTCCCAAATCGCGAGCAGTGCATGAAACACTCCTTTTTCATCACATAATAGCTAGAACACCCTTTTAAAAATATACTTTATATAGTATAAATTGCTCACAAGTGATTGTCTAACAAGACTTCTCTCTTGAATTAAATATATGATTTCCTTATTTGTCTTTAGAATCCATGTCAAGAAAAACCCTGTCGTAATGGCGGCAAGTGCGTTTTGCAGGAGAACAGGCAGCATTCTCACTGCGAATGCAACAAGGGATTTGGCAGAGAGAACTGCGAAAAAGGTATGCTAATCTTAGATAATATTCATAGTATTTTAAACGAGCATTAAGTAGTCAATACATTTGAAGAATAAATAAAAAAAGAGTATCAAGTATAAATAGCTAAAATACATCCTTAAAATAACCATACGTATAGGTAATCATACGATTTCTCGCCAATTTGGAAAAGAAAATTGCTTTCATGCCTTTTTCAAAAAGCTAATTTAAATTTCTCTCGCCCTCAAAACCCTAATTAAGAACCAGAAAGCCTGATTTCAAGTTAAACATCATTTATATATTAGAACCTCGGGGTGTTTTGGGAAAACATAGGGTTCTTATATGAGTGTGTTTTATTGTATTATAATACTTCCCAATGTAAAATTCGTAATGCTTCAGAATGTTTGGAGCTTACTTTGCAGCTAAAATTAAGGTCTATTTTGATATCAAACCTAGTATAGTCTATCTACTATAATATATTTATAAATTAAGTCTCAGCTAATTTGCTATTTTTAACATCCCATTAGTTCACGGAAATTGGTCTCCCTGGAAACCATGGGAAAGGTGTTCACTCAAGAGTGCCGGATGCAGCCAATCACGATCAAGAACGTGTACAAGTCCTGTGCCAGCCAAAG